CACGACGCCTCCCGCGGGGCCCGACGAGAAGTTGCCCAGGGCGGCCTCCAGCGCCGGCAGCAGGAGGCTGGAGCGGGGCAGGTGCTTCTCCACCTCCTCGGCGCCGATGAAGGCGGGCGGAGCCGAGCCCATGGCGAGCACCGGCACCCCGGGACGGGACGAGAGGAACCCGACAGGGCGCACCGCCCGCTCCGCCGTCGCGAACTCGCCGAGGCGTCCCCGCCCCCCGGCCCCGCTGGATCCCGGCTCAGCTGGATCCCGGACCCGCCTCCACCACCCGGCAGGCGGAAGCTCCGGGACGTCCCGCTGAAGGTGCTCCCGGACGGGAGCGCCGGCGGTCCTGGAAGTGCCGTGCCCGCAGCATCGCCGGCCATCACAGAATCACAGAGTCAGCCAGGCTGGAAAAGACCTCTGAGATTATCGAGTCCCCCTGTTGACCCAACACCACCCGGTCGACTAGACCATGGCATTGATGCCACATCCAGTCTTCTCTTAAACACCTCCAGGGACGGTGACTCCTCCACCTCCCTGGGCAGCCCATTCCAATGTCCAATCATTCTCTCTGTAAAGAACTTCTGCCCCTTCCAACCTAAACCTCCCCTGGCGCAGCTTAAGACTGTGCCCTCTTGTCCTGTCGCTGGTTGCCTGAGAGAACAGACTGACACCCAGCTGGCTACAACCTCCTGTCAGGGAGCTGTAGAGAGCGATAAGGTCACCCCTGAGCCTCCTCTTCTCCAGGCTAAATATCTCCAGCTCCCTCAGCTGCTCCTCATAGGAGTTGTGCCCCAGACCCTCCACCAGCCTCGATGCCCTTTGAACACACTGCAGCACCTCCATATCCAGCGCTTGGAGGAAGGCGGCTGCAAGCGCCACGAAACGGCCCTACCACTGTTTGTTTACGGCTCGGCACAGCCACTCCGGGACCGCGCACCCCGAGGCACATTCCGGAGGCGCATCCCCGAGGGACATTCAGCCAGGCAGAAAGGGACCTGGGGATGCTGATCGACAAGAGGCTGAACATGAGCCAGAAGTGTGCCCAGGTGGCCAAGAAGGCCAATGGCATCCTGGCCTGCATCAAGAACAGTGTGGCCAGCAGGAGCAGGGAAGTGATCCTTCCCCTGTACCCTGCGTTGGTGAGGCCACACCTTGAGTATTGTGTTCAGCTCTGGGCCCCTCAGTTCAGGAAGGACATTGAGGTGCTGGAGCGGGTCCAGAGAAGAGCAACCAGGCTGGTGAAGGGACTTGAGCACAAGTCCTATGAGGAGAGGCTGAGGGAGCTGGGGTTGTTTAGTCTGGAGAAGAGAAGGCTTAGAGGTGACCTCATCACTCTCTTCAACTACCTGAAGGGAG